AAGTCAGGGGAAAGTTTTTGCAGTTTCAGATAATATAAATAAAGAAATCTATTGAAAACTTGTGCAGGCTTCAGACACCTGTCTTTTGTTGTCAGCATTATTCAAGGTTGCAAGGTTAAGAGCTCTAAATCACAGTTGATAAAAATTGCTCCCTGATTTTATTTAGAATTGGCAAATTTTGGTAACTAAAATACACAATTCTTTCTTTTTCCATTCCCTCACCCGAACTTTTATACCAAGATCATTGATAACAATCTGATCAATAAGGACAGCTCTAACTATGCTTTAATCCTAGATCTTAGTCTTATAATCATTTCATTTGGCAATGATTTTTATGCAGTTTGGTAAGGGTAAAAGTCTACTGTAAAAAGAGGTTTCTGTACTGCTGACTTTTAATGTTCTATTTATCTGCCATGCTTCTAGAGGAGTTTTAAGAAACTACAGTGGGAATATGAATTGCTATCCCGCTTCCATTATTGAGAGAGGGTAATCAGATAAACTCTAAATATAGGATTTCATTGTGATTTTTTTCAATGATCAGCAAAATTATATAAAACCTAGAAATTAACATAAAGCCTTCCTCTAGTGGAAAAAACTGTGATAGGAAACAGTTTTGTTTTCCATATATGATAGTTATACAATGTTAGCAGTTACTGGAATTTTATTAAGTCCCAATAGAGCACATAACATGTACTATCTATTAGTTTTTCTATTTCTTATTGTATGATTATAAACGTTACAAATAATTAAGTGTGTATAGCATAGTTCAGCAAACATTTTGGACCAGTAAACATATATGAAGATTTGATATACTGCTGTGCCTATTCTCTCTAAAGGGCTGCTGTGAGGGAGGGCTTAGCTATTCAAAAAAAGCCACCATTGGTGTGCATAGCCTATTAAAACAATATATTTGAAGGGTGAACTGGTGAAGTTGTTCCACCCTATCCTCTATATTTTCAAAGAGAACACTAGGCTACAGCCATACAGAGTGAATATTTTCTAAGAATAATTTACAGGCACACTGGTACCAGGAGCGGCATTGGTACCGATCCTCCCTCCCTCTCTCCCTCCCTCCCCCCCTCTCCCTCCCTCCCTCCCTCTCTCTCTCTTTCTCCCCCTGGGTGGGGGGGGGGGAAAGGAACTCCTGAACTGGTGCTGGATGGTGGGAATCTGATGTCCGGAGGCTGATGAGCAGCAAACTGAAGACCAGCTGGCTGGCGGGAAGGAGGGGCAATCCTGCAGTCTCCCCAAAAGTAACACATCTCTTGTTGCTTGTGCTCGACTGAAGGGTGGGTGCCAGCGGGTGGGCAGGGCAATATGGGCGGGGCAGCCTCGTGGTGCCATGCAGGTCGATTAATGGCTTCGGTGGGCTGTATCTGGCCCACGGGCCATAGTTTGAGGACTCCTGCAGTAAAGGATAAAGGTGGAAACTGGAAGATAACTTGAGCTAAAAAGCAAAATGATGATAGCTTTTCATGGAAATGATCATATGAAGCAATTATTGAACTTGTTTGATAGGGGCCTGGTCATAAGGTGCTTAGAGAAGACACATTCTAAGTCCCCCACAACTATTGGTGGGCCTGCGGGGTGATAACAATTAGTAAAGTGTTTATAATCAACTTGGCCTTCCGTAACTGATCTTGCAGAATGTGATGAATTGTTTGTAGTTCCTGCAAGAGCTGATTCAAGGCTGGAACAGAAGAAGCTGGTGAGGTCAGCAGAAAAAAATGGGGGTGGTTACCATAGTTAGCCAAGAATGGAGGTATGTTATGCAGTATTATAAGCAAACTTAGCCTGTGCTAGGAGGCCTGTCCAGTTATCTTGCTGGTAGTTAATAAAACATCTGAGATATTGCTTCAGAATCCCATTCACCCATTGTATCTGACTCTAGATGATGCTTGGAAGATTTGGAGCCCTAGTCCTTTGAAAAACTTACCATACCCTGGCAGTGAATTGTAGGCTAAAATCTGAAATCAAGTGTTCAGTTAATCATGTATACAGTAGATATACTATGAAAATAGCCAAGTGGTGTCTTTGGCTGTGGGCAGACCTGGACAAGCTATGTTTGTCACTTGGTAGTGACAAACACTTTCATCTTAGTGAAAATGTTTGTCACTACCAAGATTGTCATGTTACCTTTTGACTTTGATAGATATATTATAAAATCCTAGGCTACAGTGGCCCATAGATGTGTTGGGTCATGTAGTGGCATGAAAAATCCCAATGATTTGCTAATAACATCTTTTACTCTACCACTTGTAGAACAGGAGGTGACATACCAACTTACGTTATCTTGGATTCATGGATACCAAAAATCTTCACAAAGAGTCTGGAAGCAACCAAAGTGGCCTGCAGCTGGGCTATGATGGCATAGCAGCATCCTTCTCTTAGTTCCCGATTGTAGCAATTCATGGCCTAAAGGCATTTTTGGGATTGGCATAAAGAGCTTGAAACTGAAGGCTGAATTCAGCAATGTTGTCCAGCAGGGGGCTCTGCTGCATTAGCAACAGTGTGGCCCATTTAGCAGAATCTCCTAACAAGCTGGTAACAAATCCAAGTATCCAACCCTAAGTCTCTCTGAGGTAAAATATTCACTTCTTAGGCTCATATAGAGGTTATACTGTGCCCAAAAGGCATGAAATGGAGTCAGCACCCTATCAAACTTTTCTGGGCATGCTACTGAACATTTCTGGTTTGTGCGGTATGACACTGTTGCTGCTGCCTGCAATGACTAGACTTGCAGAGCTTGTAGCACAACCTGCTGCATTAATGTTTTTGACAGCAAATTGATCCATGACTATTTCCATTGCTATGTGGCAAATAAGTTAATTACTCTCCCTAGGTGACTGGGACTTAGGTTGGTGACAATCTGTTCTGTCCTGGCCCACAGAAATCACAGATGTTACTAATTGGCATACTTCAAAACATCCTGTTTTGAAAGAGAACTCTGGTGGCAAAAGATCTGAACAACTAAGAAGGCAGCTAAGGGGTTGAGGTACACAATGGTGAGATACAAAGAGAGTTGTCCCCACACAAATCTGTGAAATGTGAGATGCATGGCTCCCCTTATATAGGAGTAGCATAACCAGGGTTGTTTCTCTCGACAGGTCAGGGTTTTCTGGCCAATAGTCTTTGTTCAGCCCTCCTCTCCTCCTTGCTAGCTCTGCCTCTTTTGACTTCTAGTGATAACTGTCTTGGTTGCTAAGCAACTCTTCCAGCTGAATCCCCTAAGGCTGATGATTCTGCTCCTTTTCCAAATCTGAACTGGCCACTGCACTGAGAGATGCTGCAAAAATCATTGGGTGGTGCCTTTACATTCAGATAAAGTTATTTCAGACTGCACTCCAGTGTCATTCTCACTCCAGTGTGCTTTGCTGTCAGGCATACATTTGATCATAAATAACACAGTGATTATAAAGTGAATTTATTACTATTGCTATCATATTTTCATACTATAATTGCTGAAATAGTCTCTAATCAAGAAGTGGGTGCATAGAGATAAGCACAGTAGCTTTCTGCAAATTGGAATACAGGTAATCCTCAATTTAGAAGTACAATTCAGCCCAAATTTTTATAAGCAAAATAGTTGAGTTTTGACCCATTTTAAAACCTTTCATGCCACAGTTAAGTGAACCACTGTAGTTTTTGAGTTAGTAACACAGCTGTTAACTAATTCTGCCTTCCCCACTGACTGCTTTGAGAAAGTCACAAAAGGTTATCACATGACCCTAAGATACTGCAACCGTCATAAATATATGCCAGCAGTGGTGAAATTCATTTTTTACTACCGGTTCTGTGAGCGTGGCTTGATGGGCATGGTGTGGCTTGGTCAGTGTGGCAGGGGAAAGATACTGCGAAATCTCCATTCCCATGCTACTCTGGGGCAAGCCAGTGGCAGTATTTGCCGATTATCTGAACTATTCAAAATTTCTGCTACCGGTTCTCCAGAACCTGCTGGATTTCACCCCTGCATGCCAGTGGCCAAGCCTCAAATTTTGATGACATGACCATGGGGATCTGCAACTTTGTGTAAAAAAACAGTCATGTGTCACATTTTTGAGTTCTATTGTAACTTTGAAAGGTCATTGGAGGGTTATGAGAGCTACCTTTGAGTGTTATTTATGTGCACTATTTATACAACTTCAGAAAAAGAAGCAGAGAATATGACAATGGCAGAGCCCCTGTTTTTTCAGTGCTTTATATTGTAAGTGGATGTTAATAGTAATTCAGATCAATGTTTTGTACTGGTTTCTGCTAATTTGTTGCTGGCGATAGTTGATATGTGGCAGTCATAGGAGAATTGCTTATAGGAGATAGAAGGAAACAATCCCAAACATCACAAAATAAACAATGAAGCATTTAAAAATAAATATTTTGGAATGAAAATCATGGTCTCTGGACTAAAATACTGAAAATCCACAAGGTAAGCATTACATGCAGATAAGTAATATTTATTACTTACAAAAGTTCTGCATGAAATAATTTCTATTTCGTTTCCATTTGGGGGGAGGGGGACACAAAAAATACTATTAAACAGAGTCTAGAAGGAGGTTTAAATAAACCAGAATTTAACCAGCCAGTCAACTTTTAAAGATAGGAAGCAAAGAAAAACAGAAACTTCAAAAAATGAAGTTAAAACCCAGGCATCCTTAAGAAAACAAACTGCCAGAGGAAAGATGGATGACTGGTGACTTTCCAGCAGCTCTCATATGGAATTGCAATTTTCAAGATTCCTCTTCCCAGATGAGTTCATGATCACCCAAAAGCTATCTTGGGTCATTTCTACATGTCCCCATTCAAATCCAGGGAGTAGGACTGCCGAAGAATCACTTTTGGTAGCAAATCAGTAGATTGTTGGCAGGAGAAAGAAAAATTCCTACTGTTCAGCAACCATCTTGGGGTAGTAGTCCACACTTTGTTTTCTAATTGATTCTTTCCTTTTTCTTCTTTACTTATATAAAAAATAACAGAAGAAAAATGAAAACTTCTTCAAATAAAACAAGCATATTAATAGCAACAGCAATAATCTTGTGAGACCATCACCAATACAAAATACAGGGTTTATAAATGTCATAAAGTACAGTTCTATATGTATATGGATTTTACAGACTAAAAAACCGCAAATATTTTCATGTCACATACATTTTGAGAAAGAAATAATTCAGCCATATCTGTTTGGAAACCAGATTCCCCATCTGCTTGGCCAATAGACTAACTATCCCATTTGGAAAACTTACACACCAATATTCAAGTGAGAAAATCAGACTGAAGAATTGGAGTGAGAAGGAAAAGCTATGTGCCTTTCAGATTCTTCAAAAACTGACCCACTTTCAGACCACCAAAATAAGCAGAAAAAACACACAAACAAACCTTACTGCTTTATTTTAAAATATGCATCAGCTTCAATCCTATAGGCATGTGATAATCAAAATTTTCTCTATAATATGTATTTCTTACATATACTTGTCAGCTTTGTTCTAAATTAAAAACCAAACTGCTTATACAACCAGATCTTCTATCAGTTTTCCAAGATACTGATAGACAGTACTCTACTATATTTTACTCCCTCAGCCCAATTTTGTTCCATCTCTTCCATTCAAGGAAGTGGAAAAGCAAGGTATTTGATTGATGGCCGAGTTTCTTTGTTGTTGAAGGGAAGGCAAGAAAGAAAACACCTGAGGTTTCACACGCTTACTTTAATGCAATCAGAAGACAGAAGTAGTCAAATGTAATTTTAAATTGAAAAATGCAGACTCTCAGTGTTCCATTCACAATGATTTCCCAAAAAATAGTATATACAAATTGCAGCAAGTACCTAAAGCAAAAACATTTCCTCCTCTAATTCTTTGACCATTTGGGTAGTCATAAAAAAATAAGCTAAAGCTTCACCCCAAGAGAATCCTGCTTCATATTCCTTTGGACATAGTTTAACTCTACATCATTGTCACTTTACTATTATTTAAGAAGTTTCCTGAGTTCAGATGTAACAAGAAGTGTGGTTTGTTTAAAGACAGAATGGATGTTTCTGAGCTCGCTCTTATAGGTGTAAAAGATGGGAAAGAATTCACAAAATAAAAGCCACTGCTCCTATTATGTGTATTCCAGAAAATAGGAAAAAGTGACAAGAAAAGATTAGAATAAGTCTTTAAAGCAGGAAGAGGACAATGATGAAGTAGTACAGAATTGCTCTGCCCTTGATTTTTATGGGCACAATCACCACCTACATATTCGTAGTCTTTGGGCTCTTTAGCAGGACCTGCATACTGAAGCTCCCAATTAGTTCAGAACACGTCTGCCTCCAGGATATCAAGAGACTTAAGTTCTACAGATAAAGGCTAAGTTCTGCTTTTCTCAGCAGAAAAATATTTTACTCAAAAGCAATATATAACACAATACCCATGTCCTAGAAAGGGCAGGGAGCATTTTAGCAAAGCAAGACTCTAGCCTTAAAAGAAATGAGAGAACTGACTTCTCTGCACCTCACTATAATAAGGTCTTTGATTTCAGGTCTACTTAGAAGGTATACCTCACAACTATTCCCACCCCCCCATTTTGCAACCTTAGGCAAGCTTCAAGTCTTAATCCTTATCTATTAGAGGAATGCTGTGAATAAATCCAATAAATTCATGATTAGAGCACTAATGCATCTGTTACTCATTCTTGCATCATAGTAGTTTTTTATTTCTGACTGTAGTACCAAAATGTTAATACCTTGTGTTAACATCTACTCCACTGTGAAAATCAAAATTACCTATGAATAATCTCCACACAATTTGAACAACTTTCAGACATGCCATAGCAGATTCTGAACCTAGATAAGATTTCTTACAGCTTACGTACCAGAAGTTTGCACATTACCTGCATGAAAATGAAAAATCAAAATCTTGGGCAAATCCAATTTAAGAAGCAAGAAATGAAAAAGAGCTCTGCTAAAGACTGGGAAGTTGCTGCCAGTCAGAGTAGACACAATATGTGGCCAAATAGAGAATCAGATGCATCTGTTTAAAACAGATTCTTATGTTCTTATGGAATGAAGATATTATAGACTACTATAGATACTTTTTGCAGCGTATTAGCCCAGACAAATAACCTATATGAAATCTAAAAGCAGTAGATAAACAATTGTTTGATTAAAATGAGAGACATTGCAGAAACAAGATATGAAGAGTCTGTTTCTACCCTGTATATGTGTGTTTGTATGTGTGTGAGTGAGAGGAATGAAATAATGAACGAGTGAATGAAGGCAAGTGAACAAGACTTGTATGTACTTGGATACAGCTTTCTGTTTGACTATGTAATTATTTCTCTGGATCATCTGTTGTGTAAATCAGTTATGAGGTTAACTAGGAAAATTTGGATTGAAAAATGTAAACAAATCATCTGTCAAGTTCAAATGAAGACTGCTATAGTTTCCTCCCTAAGAGAACTGGCTGAAAAAAATACTTTCCCCTCAGCCTCCAAGAACATTGCCCTATCTACTATACTTTAATAATTACTTCTGGAAACTTAAATGCCTTTCTTTCAGCATTTTGAGGTCCAGGACACCTATCCCCCCCACTTTAAAATGATGTTCCCTTCAAAGAAAAATAAAACAGGCTCAGGCAAGGCCAGGGTCTCTTCACTGCTTCTTGTTGCCAGGATTCTTCTTGTTGAATAGGCTGACTTTGTTGGCAGAGGAAGATTCTAATTTCACTTTATCCATTAAGGTTTTCTTAATGGCAGCTGGGGAGACTTTCTCCTGGTCAGCTAAGCACTGTAGTTCCCTGTTGAAGAGAGAAAATGGATTAACAAATCAAAGATCACAACTCAAGGGGTGTGTGAGAGGGCATTTCTTTTTGCTATGTGCAAGCATACCGTGTCCTGATGCAGGATGCCTCCACAGCATTGATGAGCAGTGAGCGGAAACCACCACTCTCTAGGAAGTGGAGAGCATAGATGGTAGCACCTCCTGGCGAGCAAACATTGTCCTTAAGCTGTCCAGGGTGCTGCTCAGAATCCAACAGCATTTTGGCAGCTCCCTATGGTATTGGGTAGACAAGACAAAGGCAACTTAGGGGATAGGAGCAATAAGTTACATTGACCTATATTTATTTAGCTGGATCTTTGAGGGAGAAAATGTAAATTATGGCAGACAGAGTTCCTTAAAACTGCAAATTGGTCATTGAATTAAAAAGAATCTGACCTGTCTCACACATGATTGAATGATCCAATAGTATTTCTGTTTTTTGTACTGTACTTTCATAGCTGGGTGGTAATGAAATTCTTTGAATTTCAAACACCAGTTAAAAAATAATAATTTGGCTTTTTTCCTATCAAAGGAAAAAAGAAGCAGAGTAGACAATGACCACTCTGATAATCACAAGTTAAGATACTGACCAACAAGGCTTGAGCTCCCAATCGGACTGCTAGCCTGCGAGGAAGGCCCATCTTCACCCCTCCATCTGCCAGGGCATCCAGGGCTGTGAATGCCTAGGAAATCAGTAGTTAAAAGAGAAGTAAACATTCTGAAAGTGGAACATAACAATGCAATGTATTTTTCTGATTATCTAAATCATGACTATTATCCTTCTCACCTTTCCTATTACCTACTCCTATTAGTATCTTATGACTATTACTTGTTGGTTGTATCTTATAATTTATGATTTATCACTTTGTTGCGTGTATATATACTAAGAGCTTATGCATCACAGACAAATTCCTTGTATGTCCAATCACACTTGGTCAATAAAGAATATTCTATCTGTACTGTTCTGTTCTAATCAGAGTACTTCAATCCAGTGCCCTCTAACTGTGTTGCAGCTACAATGTTAAGAACTTCTAGTATAGACTGAGCAACTGCTGTATTCCAGAATTTTAACAGTGGGTTCTTGTCGGTGGTTTAGAATAAATCACCTAGAACTCCAATAACTCTAATGACATCTAGGAAATCAAGCACTCGGTTATAAAGCCTCATAATATTGCAAGCCAATCTGCCTCCTCGTAAAATAAGATATAGCATAAAATTAGTTACATTTCTACATATGACCTCCCCCCTCCCCAAACCTTTTATATCCTTTTTAAAGAATACAGCAAAGGTATGGCACATACATAAGCAGGTCCACTGCCACTGAGTCCTGTCACAGCATCTATCAAATCTTCTTCCACTTCAGTACAGAAGCCCACACTTGCCATCAGCTGTTCTAAGAGCTGCCCATCTTCCACTTCTGCATGCGTGCCTGTGGCATAAACAGTGGCCCCTTCCCGCACAATGACTGGTGTATTTGTCATGCACCTGATCACTTTTGGGGCGGGGCAGAAGGCAGAAAGTTTCTTGAGACAAAAATAAAAGAAACAATTCAGGATACTTCAGAACTTTTAAAAAATAGATCTGACTAGTGCTCTAGAAAATCCAACTGTGCTAGGTTACAGACAGGTAGGAAAGAATCAGTACATGTTCATTTGATACCCATAGTATGTCTCTTTGTATCTTTAAATGAAATATGGCCAGGTGAGAGCAGAAATTTCAGCTAGGAACCTGTTTTTCTCCCTAAGCACTTATTTCTTATTTATATATCACAAGATCCTTACAGAAGAAATACTGAAAGTTTTAAAAGCACTGCATCTGGATTCCCCAACTTGGTGCCCTCCTGATGCATTGCAATTCCATTTTATTGAGGGACTGATCATTCTAGAAGTTATTATCCCAGCACAAGATGCCAAGTATAGAAAAGCTAAGTTATACACAGATTCCTACCTAATTGCCCCACTTGCAATTTAAGGAATGTCCATAGGGTGGCATATTACATAGGATAATTTATCACAATTTATGACAATTAGGCACATTACGAGAATTCAATCAGAATAATAACTTATTAAATGTATACTAATGTAAAACAACTTATGTTAATTTATTCAGGCCAATAACCATAATTTATTAACTCAGAATTTAGCAATTCATGCTAATTTATCTAGATTAAGAATCATAACTTATGATAATTTATCTGGGATAACAATCATGATTTATGATAATATATAACTTATCCAGAATAATGATTTATGGTAATGTATTACATTATCGTTATTTATCCAGAATAAGGATAATAATTTATAATTAATTCACCATGCTAATTTATTAATTTTTGGCTTACTAATTCATGATAGTTCATCTGGGTAATACTCATAACATATAATTTATCCAGGGTAATAATGATTTATAATATATTAATTCATAATTTATTGGGTAATACCCACAATTTATGCTAGCTGGTATAATATTCATAATTTATAACAATTTATGCTAATTTAGAACAAGCTATGCTATTTTATTCAGGTTGATAAACATAATTTATTCATGCCAATTCATGCAGGGTGATAACCAGCTTACTTACAAAGCTATTTACTAGATCATCAACTGACGATATAACAAGGTTTCCTCTTCTTTCTATATAAGCAAAGCAATTATATTTGTTGCACTATCACCACCCACATTATTAGTTTATTCTTCAGAATTGTCTGCTAGCTGCCCTTCTCTTGCACATCTCTAGACCCAAGAAACCTAATACAAATGAATGCTGATTCTCACCTTTTCAATTGAGTTGATAGTAACACCAGCAGCACACGAGACTACAATATGTCGATCTTCTATGTCTGAGCCAATTTCATCCAAGATAAAGGGAATTATTGGAGGTTTCACTGCCAGGAACAGGACATCACTGTTTTTAACCGTCTCCTTGTTGCTTATGGTGAAATTTACACCCATTTTCTGGAATTAAGAAGTTGAATAGCAATTGATGAAGCATCTCTTTCTTTGTGCTGAGATTATAATAAGAACAATTGGACTAAGCATTAAACCAGGCAAGCTTGAGCACACATTTATTTTCCTAGAACTACAAAGGAAAAATAAACTTGATAGATTAAAGCCAAAATAACCTCACATCTTGATTTTAAATGGGCAAAAAAATGAGGCAAAGAGAGATTCAACTGTTTTGACTACTGGGTTTCAGATGAGGTTTTTTGGGTGGAAATAACTGCACCAGCTTGCAGAAAAACTGAGATAGAGAGAAACTTCTTGGAAGAATCATGTATCCTATTTGGAGCGTGTTTAGTATCTAGATGTATTTTCAATTTTAACACTTATGGTAATGCTATGTTACCATGTGCTATGATCTGTAGTACAGATAGTCCTCGGCTTACAACAGTTCATTTAGTGACCATCCAAAGTTACAACAGCACTGAAAAAAGCGACTTATCACCATTTTTAACAGTTACAACTTTATAGCATCTCCATAATCACATGATCAAAATTCAGATGCTTGGCAACTGGTTCATATTTATGACCATTGCTGTATCCTAAGGTCATGCAATCACTTTTTGCAGCCTTCTGAAAAAGCAGCCACCGTGACTTTGAAATGAAGTTACCGTACTTTTTGGACTATAAGACACATTCCCCCCCCCCAAAAAAAGAGGGTGTAAATGTTGGTGCGTCTTATACACCT